ATTGGAATAGTTTGAGTTTTTTGACCTGAAAGGACAATTAATCACATCTGCAGGTCAAAGGATTTGTGGGTAAACATTTGTGGGGGAGGTAATTATCTTGTCTACAAAAGCTGCACTAACCTCTCTTTATTCTTTGAGTTTACAAAATGCCACCAGGGTCAGGGCCTTTGCATATCCCTAGGGTTCTACCAGCAGGATCCAATTCATCTCTTCCATTTTTGTAAGTATCACTGTCCCACAGAGACCATCCACCTCCTTGCAAATTGTCCCTCTGTTCCAGACCCATAGCAGCTATCTTAATTTCTCTGTCTCCACTAGAGAATACACACTTTGAGGACGGGGACTGTTATGGCCTGGCTGACGTGTGGTGCAACACCTGTGCAACTGAACACATGACCCTGCTTGCTGCTAGGCAGGGCATGAGGCTACACAAACAAGGGGGCAACAAGAGAACTGCAATAGGTCTAGAATCTGAGGATCAGCTTAGCAGAGACTCCAACGTTCTTCCCTAATGTTAACTGAGCCACAGACATTGCTGTCTACTGGAGAGCTCTGGCTTGGTTTTTTACAAGAACTTTTTGGCTAACTATTAGGATGGATGTGTTTGAGTGTAGGAACAGCACACCATACGCAGGATTTCAGCCAGGAAATCAGTGGTCTAATTTCTCAATGCCTATAGAGTCAAAGAGTTCCTGGGAAGGTGAAAATCCTACAAAGCTGGGTTTATTGCAGTTTCCCCACAGGGAGCACAACTAGCTTCCTGTGAGGCATCTGCAGAGCTGAAGCCTAGGGAGCTGCTGAAATTCCCAAGGCTGTGATTGGATCTCAAGTGCAGTGGACAGGAACCAGAACCCGCAGGGTTGTTACAGAGGGCAAGGTACACATTCTCCAGTAAAAAACACGTGTTGAAAATGATCCCACCAAGTGGCAAGGCTCACTTCCACTTAACACCCTGCCTTCCTGGCTCCAGTTGCTCCCAGCCATGACATCAGCAGCATCTGGGGACTGGGTGACATATTACAGGGGAGGGGGGCAGGGAGAGGTGGCTCAGGCACTGGAACAGCCAGCAGAATCCCTGGCTGCTACCCACTAGAAACTAGTATAAATCACTGCCCAAAATGATGAGGACCAAAAATGTCTCCAGACATTGCTTCCTGTCTCTGGCCAGCGTGGTAGCAGAGGGAACACTGTCCCCAGTGGAGAAGCACTGCGATATTCTACCAATCCGTGCGTAACCTTCAGCAGTGACTCCTCTCAAACCCTCACATGTGCTGTGTACAAGACAGATTAATGGTCCTGATGCTGAAAGTTCCTCCGCCACCCACTGAAAATTTCCTTTCTTTCCTGGAACACAGTATACTTACATGAAAAACTAAACTGACTGTGAGATATTCAAGCAGTATAAAAATTCCAGGAAGAACAAGTATTGATAAAAGAGCTCAAATACCACAACCTAAGATAAGATATTACAGACACATTTTAAACAAAATTGAGCAACATTTCTGTGCATATTTTAAAGTTAAATTGGACCCAGTTACCTATAATCTCTGCAAACTCAAGTTCATCTAAATAAATCACTCAGCGCTTTAACATGTTTATCACATTTTAAGGAAGCAGGCTATGAACCAGACTGCTTTTGATAACAAATCCAATTAATACAGGCAGCCTAATGCCTGACGTTACTTAAAAGAAAAAATCCAAGGAACCTGGTCAAACAAGGCTGAGTATTGCAGAATCTATTGTGCCTACTTAGCAATGAAAAACTGAAATATTCCATAAAAGTCATAAGATCTCAAAACAACAGACCTCTATTCTATGTGTTTTTTCCCAATCAAGCGTGAGGAGGAGACAGGCAGTATTGGTGCCAGAGGGTGTGATTACAAGTGAACTTGAAGTTCACAGGTCCCATTATATCCAGATGAAGTTTGCAAACTTCCAATCCCAGCAATTTTTTTTCCAGAACAACACTGATGGAATAAATGGAGACCCAATTTGAAGACAAAGAAGCGTCAGAACAAAGTTGGCCGGACACAAATGATGCCTCCATCTCCCACTGGCCAGAGGCAGCTGTCAACAAGACAAGAAGGGAGGTCCCGCACTTGGCACCATCATGGAATTTTGCTTCTAGGAATATGCTTTCCAAATGTGAACAAAGTGAAGACTTCTAAGAAATGATTCATTCCATTCCCAGGGTGGAGGGGGCCTGTTAAGCAGAAACCGTACTCAGGAGACATATAATTTGTGTGAGGAGAACAGAAAATTCAGTTAGACCAGTCCGAGGGCGGGCAGGACGTTGGTACTGAAAATTTGTTAGCTAAATGAGAAAAAATAAACAGCATTTTCTCAGAAAAGACACCTCTAGTTTCTCTAAGAATAGGGCATAAAAAAGTCAGGAAAAGCATATGCTACTATGGCACATATATATTTTTTAGTTTTCATTCATGGTTCCTGGCTCCTGAACCCAAGGTGAAGAGGTACTATTTATATTAAATATCTATGTATTTTTAAAACTTTTTATTACACCACCTTTCTTTCTGTCTTGGGGCTGCTCATTAAGAAATTTTTTGACCGGGTATGGTGATGCATGCCTATAATCCCAGCTAGCTGGAAGGCAGAGGTAGCAGGAGCACAGTCCTAGGCCAGACCCTAAAAAAACCATGTGAGACTCTATCTCAAAGTCAAACTAAAAGCAAAGGACTAGGGTGTGGCTCAAGTGTTAGAGCACTTGCCTAGAAAGCTCAAGGCCCCAAGTTCAAATCCCAACACTGCAGAAAAGAAAAACAAATGCTCTGACCTTGTGTTATAGCACATGATAAGACTGGCATTTGAGAAGGGTCCTCTGTATACCCAGGAGGAAGGAATGCTGCACACAGAGCTTAAGAAGCATCTGGAGAGACCAGTCTTGTTCAGCTATCCCTTCTCAACCACCTAGCATTAAACCATTTCCTTTTTGTTCCATCCCATTTCAACAAGGTTGTGCAGGCTTCAATGAAATTGCCATAAAAGTCCCAAAGTACAGGGTTCAGGAGCTCACAGAAGTTGAGTGGTCAGGAAGGTGGCACGAGTACCTCCATGAGGCCCAAAACTCCTGGGGACCCTTCCAGACCTCACTCAACTATCTCTTCATCCAACTGATTGTCTGTATCCTTGAAAATACCTTTTATATTAAATCAGGAAACATAACAAGAGCTACCCCAAGTTCCATGAGCACTCTACTAAATTGATAATGTAATTAAGAACGGGGTCACAGGAACCCCAATTTGCACCTGCAAATTTTTGTCAGAATTACCCAAGGCCTGGACTGTTGACAGGGTCTGAAGTAAAGGCAGTCTTGTGGGTAGGAGCCACCCACCTGGGAGGTGTGGATGTTCTTCCCAGGTACATAGTGTCACAATGGAACTGATTTACACAGTAGACTGCTGATGGCTGCTGCAGAATTGATTTCTTTGCTTCCCCCTGGGTAAAGACCCACACACTTTGGAATCAAAGGTGATCTATGTTGTGAGCAGACAGTAGGAAAAATTCACAGTTTTCCCCCATACACTCAAAAGCATCTACAAATACAGAGACACTAATGATTTCCCATCTCCTAAGCTCTCTTCACAGAAGCATCAAGGAGACTTTGAGGGCTCATAAACAGCCTGGAAGAGTGAGAGAGAAAGAGGAAACCTGAACAAACCACAGGTGAATCCACAGGTGGACACACATGCATTTCTTTTGTGACTGGAGTCTCAAGTATTCACCTGAGTATCAAAGCAGGACAAACTTAAAGGAAGTTACAAAACATGAAGAGTTGAGCTCAGTGAACCTTTAATCCTAGCAAATCAGGAGGGGAGATAGGGAGGGTTGCAGTTCCAGATCAGCCTAGACAAAAAAGTTCCTGAGACCCCATCTTGACCAACTGCCAGGCCTTAACATGCCTTTTATCCCAGTTACCAAGGGAAGCATGAATAGGGAGGATTTCGGTCCATGCCAGCCAAGGAATAAAGCAAGACCCTATCTCAAAAATAACCAACACAAAAAGGACTGCTGGAGTGGCTCAAGTGACAGAATACCTGTCTAGCGAGTGCAAGGCACTGAGTCCAACTCCATAGTACCATGGAGGAAGGACTTGAAAACATTCCTTGGTTCCTTGACTCTTTTGATCAACACATGCTAAAAGGTCCTAGTACTCCATGTTTCAGTATGGTCAGAGAATGGCACGACACTCATTTAGTTCTTATGCAAATTAAGAAGTCTGGTACTATTTTGTATGTGGTTTTCATCCACAGTTCCTAGCTCCTGATTCCCTGTCCAAGGCAGACAATACAAAGTAGAATCACTCTTCTCATGTAAGGCTTGATACATGCAGAATCAATAATCAACACATGCTTATCACAAGAATATTCACACGCTGACCATGACTACAGGGAAAGATGAGTTATCAGCAGAAGCAATGTGCTCTACATTAACACATTAATAACATGCTCCCCCTCATGTGCACACAACAGGAAACGACTTCATGAGCCACACCCTTCCCCTGGCTGACAGCATGGATCTGTGAGAAGATGGACTGAGGCAAAAGGTCACCATCAAACCCACCAATGGTCACAGCGCTTCTGTCACACCTGGCAGGGGCAGAAACCATTCTTCGGACGTGTGCACAACCAAAAGATGGTTCTGAGGTGTACTTCCTATGATGCTAGTTTCTCTATTTTCTGAAAGAATGAAGTCACCCAAGGTTCCTACAAAATGTCACCTTTTGAAGGCAGAGCTTCAGAAACGGACAGTGAAAGCAAACAGCATAAAATGAAACAAAGGATGAACTTGAAAGATCGAGGCTGAGTATGGCTGTGACATCTCTACCTTTCTCCACTTGGGCAAAGGTGAGAAACTTGCCATGTGACAGAAAAGGAATTTTGTGAGAGAGGAGAGCAGGCACTGTCCAAGTGTGACCTGCAGGATGCCTGAAGGCATTAACGTAAAGTCCCAAAACAAAGTGACACTCTGGAGCTTCTCACCTCCACAGGAAACCTTCGGCCATTGACACTGTGCTCTGAGCCTGCAGAACCATTGCTGTGGCCCCAGTGAAATTCCACCTTCTCAGCCTTGAATCTGCCGGGCAGGCCAGCACCACTGACGAAGTAGTCGTCTTTCAGAAGGATGGCAACTGTGAAAAATGAAAGAAAACAGGGAAGCACAGTGAGTTCCAAACCCAAAGGAACGATTTCTTCTTTGGCTTACTAATAAAGTTTGTGATTACCATGGTGTGACTTACTGCTTCATACACCTGCTAAACGTCAAGTTAAAACCACCAGTCTGAATAAGTCAGGATGATGCAGCTGCAGGGAAGTCTGGATCAACATTGGGTTTGGGATTGTGACAATTCCTCAGGAAAGTTCTTGGAATTTCTTACCCATTTAACAGATGGGAGAAAAAATGGAGACAAGGACAAAAAATGCAGTACAGAATCTTCCCAAAAAGCCACCCCAAAACTGGCAGTGAGCTATCCTCTCCTGTTTTTTTTTTTTTTTTATTCTAAGCATAAGAAAATGTTCTTCAGCCCATCCACAGCCCAGAGAACCTCCACCAATTCCAACCCTAAATTCTAAAACACTCTTCTCTTCAATCATGGGAAAGAGCACTGGAGAATAATCTGGATTTATACTAACAGAAAAGACTGACTTTTAAAAATGAATGTAATATGTAAGGCATACAAAACAGTCTCTAGGTAACATGCAACACCTTGTCTGTTTCTTCTTCTAAACCAGATTCACTCATTCACTGAAATTCTTATTGATTGCTGAGTCCAAGTAAGATGACAACCAATACACCCAATGGCTTGTGACCAAAAGCCATGCTGGTGTGAACCATGGGAAACCAAAGCTTTTGGATCCTCATTGTCTCCTCTTCATAAAGAGGTCCCAGTGAGAGCCTTACAGAGAAATCCTGCATGAAAATGAGGTCTCCAGAAAAGATAGGACTAGGCTAATGACCCATTTTTACAACAGAGCAATTAGTTTCAGTACTCTACTATATAAGGGAGGCATTAAAAGCCAGGGAAGGCTCCCTGCTTGTGTAAGTGCCTTTTCAGTGCATTCTAAAGGCAATTTTTCTCCCACTGCTGAAAAATACACAGTGAAAGTTCAATGAGTGGGACAGGGGATTAAAGCAGGTGTTTCTTGTGGCAGTTAAACAAGCCACAGCATTGTTCCAGCTTTACTCTGTTCAGGTAGGTTGCAGAAGTCACCAAGTATTTTTTTAAAGGGCTAAATTTTTGGTAAATATTTTAGGCCTTGGCAGGGCATTGAGTCTCTCGAACAATCTTTGTAGCACAAAAACAGCCAAGGATCAGATGTAAATGAATGAGTACGGTTATGTTCTGATAAAACTCTATTGAACCACACAGAACCTTGAATTGGATACAGTTTTCACTAATCGCAAAGTAATGTTTTCCTTTTGATTTTTTTCACTATTTAATGTAAAAACAGGCAAAGGGCTTGTCCTTTCACAGCCTCTAAGACACATCTTAAATGACAAAAAATGATCTGAAGTATTATATAACACGATCCTTATACATTTTGTTCAAGTGTCAAAACACCTAGGCCTTAAGCTCAGCCTGCTACAAATTCTACAGATAGAATCTTGTATTCAAAGGATGGAGGCAAAGATTTTGAGGGTGTCTGTATCAATACACGAAGGGACTCAGCATCACTCTATAAATGTTTGATTTGACCTAAATCATTTATATCTCTGTCAGGGGTCATTTTATTTGGTTTATATGAATAATGAAAGGAATAATTAGGGAACTGCACAATCAGAAGCATTTATCTCATTTTTCATTTTATGGAATTTCTCACATAGCATGCTACACGCATAGACACCTCTTCCAAAAAAGGCTGGTACTTTTGTTTACAAAACAAATTGGAAAAAGAGAAATTCCCTGGCTATCATGTAACAATTTTCTAATTAGCACTGATAACAGAAATGTTTTAAAACAGAAGGAAGTACAGGTAGTTACAACAGACCACAAAATGCCTAAGCCAGTGAACTCATCTCATTCTGCCACTCAACAGCGGTATGACTCATGCAGGTTACCTCACTTCTCTGTGCCCCAGCTTCTTCAGTGCCTACCAGGGCACTGTTTTGACACCTGAAGGAAATCACATCCCAAAAGCCCTGAGCACAGTGCCAGGAACCCAGGGAGCACATGTGAAGGGTAGTTGTCAGTCATTTTGACAATTCAGAACGAACCTCCTGTGTACACAGAAGAGCGGCCACACAGGTGAGGGGCTCCATTTTCAGATGGAGCTCAATTCTAAAGTAAATATTTACTGAGTATTTTGGGGGGAAGAAAAGGTAGGTATATCAGAATCAGCTCCTGCCCTCTTGGGACTTATAACCAGTGGGAAAGACAGGCCCCAAGAACTAACAAGCAAGGGAAGAAAACATGCCTAAGTAACACATTGTACCAAGTGAGCACCAAGCCCCAGATGAGAGAGGGATAGGGAATGACAAGGCCTTATGGGAGTGACCTGAGTAAAAAGACAACCTGAAAACAGGAGGGCACATCAAAGGTGAAGCAGCTCGTGCAAAGGTCCCGTGGTAGTAGAAATGAGTAGAAAAGACCAGGGTGACTGGTACTACAGAACAGGGTGAGACAAGAGGCCAGGGAATAAGGCATAGGAAAATCAACGAGGCCCTTACAGTGGCAGCCCCATGTTGGCACTCAGAGTCAGGCTCGGATCAATGTCCCCACCAACACTGGAAAGGAAGAACAACTCTTCAGAGCTGCAGAGACACAGCAACTACACTGAGCTATGAACTGCAATGCATCAGACACCAGCATGGTCTTGACCTTGAGGATGCATTTATTACCTTGTGTGCGGGCAGAAGGCAGAGCCAACGTTCCTCTTCAGAACTTAGCCTGGGGACACACATTCAGGTGGGAAAACAGCATGTGGATATGAGCAAGGTTAGGATTCGAATTTTTTCTTTATAGCAGACAGCAATTAGTTTGTTCTTAAGTCTGTGTATTCTGACTGTGCAACTGCGCTGTGAAAGTTCTAAGGCTGGGTAAAATGAAGCGAATCTGATGGTCTGCTAATCCTTGCTCCTGTGTAGATCTAACACCCACGGTCCCTGCATTCAGCTTTTATTACTTTACCATCCTTTTCTTGAATCCAACTGTGTCAGGCACTGGTTAGCTATAGTCAAATAGGAAAGAATGTAGGCCAACAACAACAACAAAAATACAGTAAACCAATATAAAATGGAAAAAATGGCAAACATATGTGCAGCATAAACCCAAGATCCTATCTTAAAATAACCGAGCAAAAAGGGCTAGGGACAAGACTCAAGTGGTAGAGAGCATGCCTAGCAAGTACAAAGCCTGAGTTTCAAACCCTAGTACTGCCCTAAAAACAAACAAATAAGGGAGCAAGGGAGGGAGGCAAGACAAAGAAAAAGCTGCCTACTGCCTATAGTTAAAATTCATGGAAGCCATGGCTTATTGACATACACCAGAAGTACCATGTAAATCTTAAGTTCTGATCATTTACCTGAAAGCTAAGGTAAGGAAGAGTAAGATTATCTTGAAATGTTCTTGTCTTCATTACACAAAAATGAAAGCAAGAGGAATGACTTTAAATGAAGTAAGAACTGGCACCACAGACAGTTATGGCTCCTCAGGAAGAAATAGGGAGACACTATCTGTCTTGTAAAGATATTTCAGACAACTTTCCAGAAATGGGTGAGGCACAACCAAGTTGCTCTATTGATTACGCCCGATGGGATATATAGCAGTCTTGGTGAGGAGACAGATCCGAACACTAAAACTGTTTTATGGGAAACTTACTGTCTGTATGCAATAGGCTGCTTTAAATATTAACTTTCTATGTTCATATTTCAATAAGCAAAAGACAGGCTCTATTTTACAGATAAGTGACCTGCAAATTTCCATCATAGAAAAAATAAATAAATACTCCCTCTTGATTTCACTTTCTGGAACTATGAAAAGAAAAAAGTGTTTCCTAAAAATTAATGATTCTAGGGCTGAGGAGGTGGCTCAGTAGGAGAGAGCCAGCCTGGCATGTAAAAAGCCAGAGGTTCAACCCCTAGCATTAAAAAACATAAATGAGTTAAGGAAAAGAAGCCTTTACTACATTTTGGTATTAACACAGATAGAAAATGAGACCACGTGGCTTATGTCTTGTAAGTTTATTTTAAAAATTAACTTTTGGTCAGGCATAGTGGTTCATGTCTGCAATTTCAGCTACTTAGGAGGAAGAGATGGGAAGGATGAATGATCAAGGCCAGCATCAGAAAAAAGTTGACAAGAACCCCATCTCAACCAACAAGTAACATGCACACCTGTTATCCCAGGTATGCAGGAGGAATGCAGTTCAGGCTGGCTGGAGCAAAACACAAGACCCCATCTGAAAAATAACTAAAGCAAAAAGGAACTGGGGATATGACTAAAGTGATAAAGTGCTTGCCAAGCAAGGGTGAGGCTCTGAGTTCAAATGTCAGTACTAGACAAAAAAAATTAAATTAAAATATTTTTAACTTTCTGATAATTACACATTCATATGAGCTCTAAGAAATGATGCAGACTCACTGTGCCCCTTTGCCACACTTCCTCCTATTATATCTTTCAACAGTCATGATATGCATGCTTTAAAAGACACTGGAGTTCCACAAATTCCTTCTCAGTAAGGTTCACTGAGGAAATTAGCTCCCCCACCTTAACTTGTACATGCAGAACCCTCCCCCACCACAGTGGCTGGAATGGTCAAATAAATTTCTGAGATTCAGACAAATCAGAGTAAATGAATCCTCATTTCTCCAAAATCCTGGAAAATTTGTTAACTCATATGGCATTTTAAGATCTACAAAATGAAAGGTTTCAAGGCTTATGCTTGAAAAAAAAAAATCACAACTTTCAAAAACCACTATACACTAACACACTTTCAAGACATTAAGAAAACACTCTCATGTTCTTTCAAATTGCATATAACTGGCTGTCACTTTTTTTAAAAAACCCTCCTCAGGAGTCACCTGAGAGGATTTATGAGAGATGGGCCTATCCAGCATTATACAGGGAATTTCACAGTAATCAGCACAATCTGAGAGGTAATGGGATGAACTTTGCTTCTCCAAACACTGTATTTTGAAATCTCTGACACAGATGTGTCCGTACCTAGCTAGTTGTGCTCTAAAACTGGAGCCTGCACTCAGATAGCCACAGGTTGTGGATCACTCTAGGAAGTTAGCAGAGTGACAGAGATTGATAATCAGCTTCTGGAAGAGCAAGGTCATGAATCAGCTCACACTGAGTGAACCCTACACACGTTGAAAACCTTTCACTAGCGATACCAAGCTGAAAGCTGTCACTGAAACGTGTTATCTTTGCAGAAGGCTGTCAAGCGTTGCAAATCAAGGAGAAAACTGGATCAGAGAGCCCAGTGCATTGCCTCTGGCAGGCTTCTAGAAACTCAAGTAGCACTGCATTCCATGCACTGATTAAACTACTGGACCAAAGTTCTCGGCTGCTTATATTCAGATGATCTCAAAAGGAATCTTTCATATGCATATATACACATGGAACATAAGGAAAGACCACTGAAGACCATGGATTGTAACAACAGGCACACAATGTCTGCTGAGGGCTAGGAAGAGGGATGACAAGGAGTGGACAAATAGCACAGCTGTCCCTGGTGCAGCTAAACAAAGGGGGAAATACAGAACAGAAGACAGTAGGTAACCTGCTATAAGACAGGAAGGAGAAAGGTTCTTGGGTTATATGAAAAAGAGCACAGAGCCAGTCTAAGTGAGAAGCAATTGTATGAAGAAGCCAGGCCAACTCAGAGCAATCAGCAGTGAGTAATCTCCAACAGATGCTACTCTGGGCAAAGAAAATGGATCCCAAGAGCTGTTCCAGCACCAGCAGGGTTTAAAGGAAAGGCAATTGTAAGGTGAAGCAAGCAGGTACCAAAAGGCTGAAGGTGAGTGAGAGAAAGTATGAGAGAGCAAGAGAAATGAGTTTTAATGGGTAAAATTCTAAGTAGATAAAAACCAAGATATGAAAATCTTTAGGCATCAACATGAGCCCACGCAGCAGTTAGCAGGGCTACAATATTGGCTTCCCATTAGAGATGTAAAAAGATGCTGCTACATATTCATGACTCCCCGAGTGACAAGTGGGCAAGGAGAGGAAGGATCAAACTGCTGATCTGATATACAAAGGGTAAGAGAGCTCATCTGCAGTCTGACAGAGTAAGAAAATATGACCAAATAACATCCAAAGGAAGGTAAGTATTTTATCTCCTTATGTCTCTTTGGTCCAGTGCTATTAGAATATGGTAGCCACTACCTATATGCAGCTACTGAGTTTGGAAACGGGCCCAGTACAACTGAGAGACTGACTGAATTTTCACATTTTTAAATTTTATTGAACATTTAAATCTAAATAAAAACCATATGACTAGTGGCCACCATATTGATAGGTTTCCAGAAACACCATTCTATGCACCTTACACCTATCAATTCATTGATGCATAACAACCTTAAGAGACTGATACTGTTTTATTATCTACATTTTACATATTTTTAAAAACTGAGGCACAGAATGGTTAAGTAAATTTCCCAAGGTCACACACACACAGCTGCTTATCAAAGTAACAGCTGATTTAGGTACCCCTTAACAATGTGCACTATTTAAGGAACATGTCAAACACCCCAAAATATTTCATGTTGAGTGGTAGATAAGTAAAGAACTCTTGGTCTACCTGTTTTCCCTGTGTTTTTCATCCAGGTTTTGTTAGAAGACTCATTGTCAAAGCCATCAAGTTGCAGGTCCTGGTATTCTTCACCAACACGTGCATGATGGTCTAAAATGTCTATTGGAGACTGGTGGCGACCCCCACAGCTGACACTAGATGTGACCCAGTGCTCAGGACCATAGACACCTGTGGAGAGAAAGCAACACTCAGTCCTCGTGGGTAAGGGTCAGGGAGGGAACCAACAAGATGTAGGAAGCCAAGTGCCACATGTTCTCACATACATTTTCCAAGGTGTTCCCATTACAAAGAGGTCAGCACAATTCCAGAAATTATGGATGAAAGCCATTTGCTTGGTGTGGCGAGATCTCAGAAAAGGCACATTACTTCATATAGTTTTGCTTACTGATTTGCAGTCAAACTATTTGCTAACTTAGTCTTTAATCAGATTCAGGGAGTCATGCAGGACGGTTAACAGAGTTGTTGACATTTCTGAAAACTATTAAATAAGTTCCTTAAAATGAGCAGAACATTCACTCACAAGAAAGTGTCTAAATCAATTCAGCATGTTTTGTTATGGTGAATAATATCCTAAATACAATTTTCTCCTTAGCTCTCAGAAATCTATAAATAGGAAAAGGAGAAAATGAAAAGCAAAATAATAATAATAATAATAAAGTGACTAAAATCAATATAAATGAGGGAGGTAACCAGGCAGGGTTACCTTTGACTAATTGCAAAAGACTTCTCAATTGGGTGACAGTCTGTACTCTTGGATAGTAAGCCACTAACCTCTCCTTTTCAATCCCTCTCTCTCACAGGAGACAGAAGGATAAAGTTACCCTCACAATGAATTTACCACTCATATAAACAAAAACTTTTGGGAGAACATCCACCACAGAAATAAAGGAAAAAGTGCACGAAGTGCAACCACGACACGTCATTCTAACAGGTTCCAATAAGACCTAAGCACAGAAGGCCCAGTGCATTTCCTTTTCTGCCCCATTTGGAAAGAAATTACTAGGGGCAAAGTGTGTTAAGTGGATAAAAATCCCTTAGAACTTCTTGAATCCTACTTTTAACCTTGTTGACATAAAGCAAGAAAGAAACAATCTCAGATTAAAAGATTAGGATGCATCCCTTTTCTGAGAACTAGACATAGAATAAGTGTAAACATTACAATTTTTAGAAGACAAAACACAGACCTCAGTCAGGAAAGTTTAGTGTGTGAATACATACACAAACCTATCTCCTTGGGTATTTAGTTTTACAATTCTTCACATACCAGACGAAGTGATCTTAGAAGATCAATCCACTCATCTACTAGAAAGTAATGTTTGTGTGTGTGTGTGTGTGTGTGTGTGTAAAAAGCCATCTAGAAATCTGCTAGTGTAATAAAATTATAGTCAATGGGAAAAAACACTATAAGGCATGGTAAAATAAATCCAAACACCTATGACTCCAAAGAAATAACAGGAAACCATTCTTTGTAAAAACCCAAATAACTGGTAATTATCTACCCCTCCCAAAAAATACTCTGCAGTGTCGGGAAAGTATTTGCCATTCATATTACCCCTCATAACCTTCCAGGGGTGGGTGAAATGTAATTTAGCACTCTATAAAACTATGATCAGGGTTGGAACTACTGGGATTCATTTATTCACTGGTAACAATCTGAAGATTTAAGCTGACTACATGCCTGCTTTCACACTTCCACCCAATATACGTTCAAGTGCAATTTTAATTGAAACTGATCTTCCACTTCAGATTTTAAATTAATTCTTCTTTGGAGAACTTCATGCTCCACACACCCTTGCCTTGCAAAAACCCCTGTGTCATTAGTGGAGGAAATAGAAGACTTTTCTCAAGTCCACAGGTATTGATTACCTATTCTCAAATCGAACCACTGTGGCCATTCCACACTATATAAATCTTTCTGGTGTTAAGACACTTTGTAAAAGGATTCAGAATTATGTCATTAATCATTTGCAGTTACACAAAGTCTCACAGTATTGAATGCTTTGTTTTTCAGAACTTTGAATAAATGTTCCTAAGTAAAAAACACAACACCAAATAAAGACTGTAGTTAACTTAAGCCTAGCTTGGAGGGAAAAGAACATCAGCAATAAGCCTTCCTCTCTGGGGTATGACATTGCCCATCAAAAGTAAGAAGGACAGGTCACTTTTCTTTTACTTTGCTCTGACTGACTCTTTCTTACAATGAGCAGGTAGCTTGGTTTCGGTAGCTTGATCCATTGGAAATGGCTCACCAGCTCTTGACACCGCCACTTCAGTACAAACCCAGGGTGCTTTGGGATGCCAAAAGTAATTTCCCATAGTCCTGTTAAAAGGTTAGCAGGAATGAGATCTGAATGGAGACATCCTAAGAATCTAACGGGGTTCTCATTTATCCTATGATGAAGAATATTTTCTTTTTTAAATCATGAAATAAATGTATCTAAAATCCCTGGCTGCAGGCTGGATCTCAATGAAAACGTTCCTTTGGCAAGGATGAACAGAGGTTCAGTGCTAGGCTGGCACAGGCTTCTTGTTTTGTTTGAGCCTCATGTGTTATTATGTTTTATGTTGTGGAGTCCTAAAAATCTGTCTTCCCTACTACGATTAAACTCTATGAGGCAGGTATCTTTCTCTGTCTCATTCAGTAAGTCCACAAAATATATTTTTGGATGCAAATAAATGAAATAGACAAAGAGATTAAAGAGTGGTAGAGTTCAACTTTCTAATGACACTATGCATGTTCTCTGTCACGATTTAATTCAAATTTTAAATATCTATCTGCTAACTCCTTGGTAAGTCTTCTTCATTTCTCTGATCTCAAGAGCCAAGATGCCAATTTCAGAAGTAAACAGTCCTTTTCTTTGCTAATACATTCAATTAGTCTGAACTGTGACAAACTAAGAGAGCTTTGACTATGTGATCTGCACAAACAAATCTTCATGTAAATTTAACAGGCTGACCAAGGACAACTGGTTTTTTAAGCCATGGGGCAACAGAACCTTTGCTTTCATTGCCTTCTGTGAAAAATGACTATTTTCAAACCTCTTATTTTTTTCTGTGACTTAACAAACTTTCCCTATTGAAAGAGGTCATCTGAGGAGGAAATTTAGTCTCATGAACAAGCCATCATCATCTCCCTTTAAATAGTGAGTCAACGCTTGCTCATGACCAGACACAGTGCTGAGAGAGAAATGGGCGCAAGCGATCAGGGCTGTCCTGGTTCCCAGGGTTCCCTTAGTCAACTTAAACTGCTTGAAGATCAGCTTCTTTCCCAGTACAACAGTACTCACATCAAAGGGTGGTTGTGCCAGCAAAAACCCTTGTTCCTTCCTATTATGGCTTATACTCTCTCTTTAACAAAATTAGAGATAAGGGCAAAATAGTTTCTGCTGGGTATCAAGGGGGTGGGGGGAGAGGGAGGGGGCGGAATGGGTGTAAGGGAGGGGGTTGGGGCAGGGGGGAGAAATGACCCAAGCCTTGTATGCACATATGAATAATAAATAAATAAAATAAAATTTTAAAAAAAGGGTGGTTGTGTGGACTCTGAGATAACCCATGTGAAGTACTTAGAAAAATATCAGAAAATGAAAGCTCAGTAAGTGCAGGCTGCTATGACTACTCCCTTTGTTGCTGAGTTACAAAATGTGTAGCAAGCTGTCAAGAAACTCTACCATGGAGGAAACAGCAAGGTGCACTCAAGTATTTCATGCAATGCAAAGAGAAAAGAGCCTCCTCTCTCCTCACACAAGACTTCAAGAGGAGGAGACACTTGGGTGGCATCACCCTTAAGGCCCTGGTCACCTGAAACAGGTTTTTGACTTGGGAAGAGACCAAGCTTTAAAACAGTTAACACCTCTAAGAGTGGGACTTTACTCCAGCTTTAGCTGAGTTCAGTGAGTTGCTTGACAATAATTAATAAGGGAATGATGAAAACAGAAACTTCACAGCAGAGACACTTGGGAAAGATATGACAGCCAAGTGAAGACAGTTAATGTCACCTGTGATAACATGGCAACCAAGGACATCCTGACTGGATGAATGGCACATCATCTCTGTTGTATGCTGTGCAAACTTTCATAAGCTCTAGTCTAAATCATGAGGAATACATTATGAACTCAAACTGAGGAACAACTTACAAAATATATGACCTAAAATGTCAAGGTCATAAAAAACAAGGACAGTGTAAAACACTGTCACAGACCACAGAAGGCTAAAGAATCAAGACAATCAATACCGAGTAGCAGAGGCAACACTGGGAATTCAGTGGGAAAAGTCACGAAATCTCTGAGTTCAATTTGAAATTCAATTAATAGTAATGCACCAAGATTGGCTTCTTACATTGTCTCAGACAAAAGATCAACCATTAGACCCAAAAATGAAAAGAATTATTTATGAAATTTCAGAGAAAGCAAATAAAATCAAAGTTCTGTTAAATGGATCTTCCATTTAATATCCAGATTTTACCAGGTTTACTGATATGAACTTGGTTGGGGGAGAATGGTCCATGGCATACAGATGGACACTGATTTAGAGTGTGTTGGGATGCTTCTCACAGCCTTTCTGCAAGAAAGGAATTTATACAGAGCAAAGGAGAAAAGCAAACTGAGCTAAAGAAAAACCTAGCAAGCTTATAGGTGATATTTCATTATTGAAGGTTGTATAAAACTCTTGTAACATATAAAGTTGGAGAAATGCACCTTTAAAATTGTAGTTAAGAAACAGCATCATTAGCTTAATTTATGACTCGTTTATGCCTTGAAATAACCCACTTTTCCTCCTCAGTGTACCATTAACCAGTCACTATATTTTTCGCATTTTGTGATGTTAACAATTCAGGGGACTAGCATCAGGAAGACGAATTTCTACAGTATGGAGGATAAATCACCAACTGGAGATTAATTCCAACTGGCCTGATTAAGGCAGACAGAATTCCCTACGTGAAAATAATGGCAAATACTGTAAATCCTGGCTCAGGTCTAAAAGCCTATTTGATATTCACTGTTTCTTTTTTAGGTAGATTTAGCCCAAAGAACATGGTCCAGATGTATCAATTATAAACTAATACTAGTTATCCTATTCAAACAGAAAATCAAATAAAGACTTGAGAGAAGAATTTTAATTTGGCCCCACATCCACTCTTACTCATACCAGAAACACTACTTAAAAGTCCA